CATCATCATGCTGGGCGGCAATTTTACCGTGCGCTCAATGCTGGGCACCCAATTGTAAATTTCTTTTTGCCGCTTCAGGAAAACCGTGCCTTTGTCGCGCGCAGGCGAAACCACCAGGGTCATGCTGTATTCACTGCCTCGGCTCCAGGTTTTCATGGTGATGGTGCGCTCCCAGGTGGGCCGAACAATGGTCATAGACATTTCGCCCTTGCTTGATTGCCCGCGCAGCTTTTCTTCGGCCTTCCTTACAATTTCCGTGGCGCTTTGGCCCGAAACAGCACCCGCCATTAGTAAACCCAAGGCCATTAATTTCAGCTTCATAAATTGTATTTATTTAAAAGTTTTTGTTGCAGTTCTTCCAGCGGGTACTCCGCGCCCAATGAGATATAGCCCATGGCAATCCCATCCAATACTGCGCCCATGTAATAGGCTTCAATTTCCGGTTGCTGGTAGCCCAATTCACTAAAAGCCCGGCAGTATCGCCCAATCATTTTTTCCTTTTCTGCGCTTATCAGCGGATGAAGGTTTTGGATGACCGCGGGCTGCACGGCCAGTGATATAAGAAAGCGCATCACCTCATGCTGCTGTTGCATAAATTTAATGGAACCTTCAATGAGCTGGCGCAATTGCGCCTTGGGGCTCTTGCTTTCCCATCCCTCTTGCAATTGCTCACCGCGTTGTATCATCTGCTCAAAAATACCCTGGAGCAAATCTTCTTTGCTGTCAAAATAATGATAGGTAAGGCCTTTGGAAACCCCGGCTTCGCGGGCGATATAACTAATGGTGGCGGCCGAGTATCCCTTTTCAGCAAAGGCCTTGAGCGCGGCCTCTAAAATTTGCGCACGGCTTTGTTCGCGCTGCTCCTGATTTTGTTTTACACTGCGAGGGGCCATGTGATTTTTTAATTGAACACTTGGTCAAAGTTAAAGCAAAAAGCTTTGTTGACCAAATGGTCAATGGGCATAACTGCTTGATTGCATGGTGGTAATTCCGGGAAAATCTCAGGCTACGGTATTTTTTGCTACATTGCTGGTTCTAACCCTCAACACTATGACCCATAAAAAATCCGCTTGCTTAGCATCCGCAGTACTCTCGCTTATCATCGTTTTGGTTTCCTGTTCAAAAGAAAACAATGCGGTTCATGCACCTGAATTAAAATTACCCGATACGCCCTACAGCTACCACGTGGCCAATGACAACCTGCCCACTTTGGGGAGGGTGTTGTTTTACGATAAGAACCTGTCTTTAAACGGAACGGTTTCTTGCGGCTCGTGCCACAAGCAGGCGCTGGCTTTTGCCGATGTAAAAAGGTTTAGCACCGGTTTTCACAGCGATAAAACCAGCAGAAACACACCGCCCATTCAAAATATAGCGCCCCAGGGGCAAGCCCTTTTTTGGGATGGCCGCGAGCGCGACTTGAAGACCATGTCAACCCAGCCCTTTTTCAATCACATGGAAATGGGCCTTTTTGACGCCAATATGTTGGTGCAAATTGTGAAGGACAAAGCGTATTACGAACCGCTATTTGCCGATGCATTCAACGAAAGTGGCGTAAGTCTGGAGAAAATAAATACGGCCCTGGCCAGCTTCTTAACATCTATACGCTCAGACAATTCCCGCTTCGAGCGAAGTGCCTTTGGGGGCCTTTCTGCATTGTCTGAAAAAGAAAAGGACGGCCAAAACCTGTTTTTTGGAAAATACAATTGCGGCAGTTGCCACAACTTATTTACGCCCCGGGGCTATAGCATTCCCTTCAACCCCAACGATACCATGCTGGAGATGGTAAATATTGGCTTAGACCGCAGGTATGCCGATAAAGGCCTGGGTGAAGTTACCGGCAAAAGCGATCACAACGGACGCTTTAAAATTCCCAACCTGCGCAACGTAGAGCTCACCGCACCGTACATGCACGATGGACGCTTTGCTACGCTGGAAGAGGTTATTGACCACTACAGCAATCAGGTGGAAGCGCACGAAAACCTGGATTTTCGTTTGAAAGACTCCTTCGGCAAGCCCTTGGTGCAAAACATCAGCGAAAGCGAAAAGGAGGCTCTTATCGCATTCTTAAAATCTTTAACTGATGCCAGTTTGGTAACAGACGTACGCTTCAGCAACCCCTTTATCAATCAATAATCAATTAAAATAAACAGACCATGAACAAGCTGTGCCTTGGCCTGGCAATGGTATTACTCATGCCTTTTGCCTATGCTCAAAACTCAATGAATGACGATTTTAAGAAACATGAAATTGGCATTCAGGTCAATCAACTGGTTAATCAGGTTTTGAGTCTGGGCAACAGCCTCGAGGTTGACAATCCCTACCTGCTGCGTTACGCCTATCACCTGGATAAGAAGCACGCGCTTACCCTGGGCTTTGGGCTTGAGCTGGTGGGCATAGACGAAAAGGAAGGGGGCAATGTAAACCGAAGCTTGCTTGATTTGCGCGTGGGATACATGCGCTATTTTGAGGTGGCCAAAAACCTGGATTTGGGCATTGGAGCCGATTTGGTTTTACAGCGCCACCTTACAAGGTCACAACTAATACAAACCGGAGGCTTTTCAGACTCAACGGTAATTAATACCAATGCCATTAACAACCTTTTGGGAGGAGGCCTGCGCGCCAATATAACCTACAATATCACGCCCGTTATTTCGGTGGGAACCGAGGCCAATATGTATTACTTAACCGGCCTGGATAAAACAGAACTTACCGTGAGCACCTTCGATTCCTTTTCAGGGGAACTGAGAAGTTTTTCCGAAAATACCGATGAGGCTACCGTAACACGGATGCAAATGCAAATGCCCGTGGTGCTGTTTTTTATTCTCAGACTTTAGCTAAAACCAAAAGCCAAGGCTAATGTAGCTGTAGATATTGCTGTGATTGCTGCTGGCCATCAGGTTAAATTCCAGCGGCCCCACGGGGCTGTTGTAGCTGTAGCCCAGGCTGTAGCCATCCAGCAGAATGCGGGAGGCAAAAATATCATCCAGGGTAGGTTCTATCTTGCCAATATTGTAGCGTCCAATTAAATAGTGGTCCTTGGTAAACTCATAAAACAAATCGCCTCGTAAATAAAGCGCGTTTCTTCCGCTCAACTCCATAAACCGATAGCCAATAAAGGGTTGGATGTAATTGATGTAGTTGTGCCCCAGGCTTCCTAAGTGCAATTGGTAGGGAAAACTCAAATTTGAGCCTATGGTACTGGCCCCGTATAACTTGGTAATGGCGGTAAGTCTTTTATTCAGGGGAATTACCTGCCGGTAATTCAAATCGATTACCGAGCTGGGCGGCCTAAAGGTTTCAAAACCAATTCTTTCGGCAATAATTCGGTATTGGCCCCTCAGTTGAAAACCTTCGCGCGGAAAATATTCGTGATCAAAGCTATCAAAGTCTATAAAGCCATAGTAGTTTATAAAGCCTTTGTTCAGGTTGCTGTAGCCTGCCCGTTCAAACTCTTGATTTACCCGGGCGTCATCCAACTGCACCCCCGCCCCAATGGCGTACGCGTCTTTCAAGGTTGATTGCAGAAAAAAATCGAGGGAAAAATCCTGGTAAACGGCCTGACTCACCGCCTGGAAGTTTTCGTAATTCCGGTAGCGAAATTGATAAGCGCGAAAATTCAGGCCCAAAGTGGGAATAAAGCCCCGGTCAACAAAGTAACTCACTTCCACCCGCGGGTTGTCGCCCAGGGCTACATCGGTGCTAAACCGCGAGTTTTGAAACAAAAAGTTGCGGTGGGTGAGGTTTAGCAGTACGGCCGTTTTAAAGTCATCGCTGTAGTTTAACCCGGCCCGGAAAGTGGTAAATACTTGTTTTTCACGAACGTTGATGTTGAGCTGAAAATCCTCGCCCTGCGGAGAAATAGTGTAGTCAACCGTTTCAAAATACTTAGTGCCGTACAATTGATCCAGGCCGTTTTCCAAATCTTCAAGCGCGCAGGAGTCGCCACTGGCTATGCCAAGCTTGCTCAGTATGAAGTCATCGGTTGAGGTTTTGTTGCCAAACACCTCAATGTTCTGAACATAAAATTGATCAAGCGGAAGCGCGCGCCCGGCAAAGGCCGGTTCTTTTTCCGGACGCTCATCCATATTGCCCAGGGCCTGTAGGGTTTCCCAATGCTGCATGGCGGCATAAACGCCTGCATTCACCAGGGTATCGTACAGGTGAAAGGAAGTAATATTGGCCTTGTCCATTTCTGGCCGAATGAGAATGTCGGTGTACTTTTTTTGATTTTCAATTTCCTTGGCGTTGATAAAAGAAGAGGTTTGCTCCAGCACCTTTACCATGCTGTTGAGTTCCTCGCGCCCGTTGAGAAACTTTTGCACGTCCACCCCAATTATCACATCCATACCTTTGTCTTTCAAAACTTTAACCGGAAAATTGTTAACTACCCCGCCATCCACGTAGAGGGTGTCTTGCACCTCGTAGGGCGTAAAGAGCGAAGGAAAGGCCGAGGTGGCCCTCAAGGCATCAATTAAGCGTACGTTTTCTTCAAAAACACGGGCCTTGCCGTTTTCCAGGTTGGTGGCTACGCAAAAAAACGGAATGGGAAACTCCTGAAAGCTTTGG